GTTCCAGGGGATCCGACAGCCTCTTCTGTCCTCCGTGGGCATTGCATGACATGGGTACATTTACCTACATGTAGGCAATACATGCATATGCATAAAATAAAAATAATAAATAAAATATTAAAAAAAAAAACCTGTCGCCCTGAGCTTTAGGTATAGCACAGCAGGACAGCACTTGCCTAGCATGTATGAGGCTCTGGGTTCAATTCTCAGTCAAAACAAAATCAAAAGTGTCACCTTACCTATGAACTCTCTCCTACTCCCAAAATCAGAGTCAATTCTTCTCATGTTACCCTTTTCTTTTCTTTTCTTTTTTTTTTTTTAAGACAGGGTCTCATTATGTAGCCTAAGCTAGCCTTGAATTCATGATACCTAACTTCAGCTTCTTGAGTGCTGAGTCATCATATTTTGAATGTGTAATTTTCCATCTAAAGTATATGCTCCCTAAAGCCAACTAATGAAGTAAATGTCTTTTAAGATACAAATATTTTATTTCTTAATTTCCAAACAAACCCAGAGTAAAAGTAGAAAGCCTAGAAATCTGTTATTCCAGACTTTAATTTTGAAAACACCCCTGCATGGTGTTTTGTTTGTTTTTTTGTTTTGTTTTGTTTTGTTAATTTGTTGTTGTTGTTTGTTTGTTTTGAGATTGGGTGACCTGTAGCCCTAGATGGCCTGGAACTCACTAAGTAGACCAGGTTGGCCTCAAACTCACAAAGATCTGCCTGCCTCTGCCTCCCAAATGCTGGCATTAAAGGCGTGCACCACCATGCCCAGCTTTATTTATTTTTAATATTTTATTGTTTTATTTTACGTATATGAGTGTATTGCCTGAATGTATGTAAGTACAAGGAGGTCAGAAGAGGGTGACAGATGCCCTGGAGCTGGAATTAAGGATGGTTGTTAGCTGTCATATGGGTGTTGGGTACTGAATCCAGGTTCTCTGCAAGAGCAGCCAGTGCTCTTAACCACTGAGCCATCTCTCCAGCCCACCACCTCATCTTGTCTATGCTGCCTTCATGCAGCTTATCACTGGCAGAACATAGTGCTGCAATACACAAGAGCTGTAATAGGGGTCACCAGCAAACAGTCCTGTGGGAATTCATAGCAGAAGCACTTCATTCAGGATTGAGAAATGCCTCAGATGAAGTGTTATCAGTCAAGGTGAAATTACATGAGTCTGGAAGTTTATTTCAAACCAGGGATGAGAAGAAGATCAATGAAGAGACAGTACTCCTCACTAAAGCTGGAGCGCCAAGTAGAAGAAGAAAGTAGACAGGTAAAAAGGAGCCAGATCTTGTGTTGTCTTTTATAGATTCAGAACTGTGGATGCTATCTGTATGGAGAACTACAAAGGGTTTTTCAGAAGGGTTACAACATCAGATTTGTTCTCTAGCAAAATATTCTGGTTAGAGTCTGGAAAAAAAGCATTGAAATTATATGGCAGTTGTACAGTATGACTGCTTGGTCAAAGCAAATGACATCTGTGTGGAATCCTCCCTGGCACCACTTCACATTAAAATCAGCCAAAAGAGGAACTGGCAGCAGCCTGGAAGGACCACAGCAGCTGCCACGTTGCTCTGCCGAGCTGGGTTGTATCTGGAGGTGGTGTTGGGTGGGAAGGTGCTAGTGGATCCTCACTCCGTCACACTCAGCTCCCAGCTCTCTTCCTGACTGCCAGGCCTACTGGCCAATTCCAGTCCTGCTGCCAGATGCAGACTTCCATCAGCTTTCCTTCATGGGACCACAGTGCTGGTGCAGGAGCTGGGGTCCTAAACTCTCATGAAAGTTTTCATCTTGCCACCCAGACCAGTGCTTCAGAGGGTGCATTAGTGACTTCTGATCCCAAGATTCTTCCACCAGACCATGACTCTCCATCTTCCCCTATAATTAAGTTCTCAGTCCTATAAGGAAATCCCTTATTCTCTAACGGACACAGTAGTTTTGCTTCTCTGATTCGACTCTGTCTAATACATTGAATGAAAATAATGGAGAAAATGGAAGCAGAAAGGTTTTGTTATTCTTGTTCATTCTTTTTGTTTTTTAATTTGTTATTATTTAGTTTATGTGGGGGGGGGCACATGCATTCCCCAGTTCAGAGGACAACTTGGGGGAATCAGTTCTCTCTTTCCCTCATGAGTACCAGGGATCCAACTCAGGCCAACAGTCTTGGCAGCAGGCACCTTCACTCACGAAGCCATCCAGACAGCCCAATTCTTTTTTTAACCTTCCTATGTATTAAAATGATATCTGGCATAAAATAGATAATCATACAGTGCTGAGCCAGGCATAGTGACACATACCTGTAATCCTAGCACTAAGGAGATGGAGGTAGGAGGATCAGGACAACCTTAGTAATACATTGAGTTTGAGGCCAGCGTAAGCTACATGAAACCTTGTCTCAAAACAAGCTGGGCATGGTGGTACATGCTTTTAATTCCAGCTCTCAGGAGACAGAGGCAGTGGCAGAGATAGGGACATAGGTCAGAGGGCAGAGACAGAGGGATCTCTGTGAGTTTGAGGCCAGCCTGGTATAGAGAGTTTTAGGTCAGTCAGGACTGCATAATGAGACTCTGCTTTTAAAAAAACAAAAGCCAAATCAAAACAAAAAGAAACAAAAACTCCCAGGAACAAGGTGTTGAGTGGACAGCATGGATGGACAGCCAAATAGCATCACAACACAAGGATCCCTTTACATAGAAAACTTTCTATAGGGCTGGGGATATGACTCGGTGGTAGAGTCTGGGCTTATTAGTATGCACAAAGTTCTGAGTTCAAACTTCATGGCCAATGTAGAAGGTAGAGAAGGAGAGGGAGGGAGGAAGGGAAAGGAAATGGGGGGGGTCGATAGGAATTAAAAATGAAATGTAAAGAAAAATGTGAGGGGGGAAAGGGTGAGGGCTTAGACTACTTTGAGAATGTTATAACTTCAAAGATTATAATAAAATTAAATAATTAGTTGGACATGGTAGTGCATACCTGTAAACCCATTGGGGGTGGGGAAGAAAGGAAAGAGAAGAGAAGGAGAGGGAAAAGAAAAAGGAAGGAAAGGGGACAGTAAGGGGGAGGGGAATGTGGTGGTGCACGCCTATAATTCCAGGACTTGGGAGATGAAAGGAGAAAGATCATGAGTTTCAGGAAGGAAGGAAAGAAGGAAGGAAGGGAGGGAGAAACAAAGGGAGGGAGGCAGGAAGGGAGGGAGAGAGGGAGACAGGGAGGGAGGGAGAGAAGTAGGTTAGTTGGGAGAGAGGAAGAATGGAGAGAGGGAGGACAAAGAAGAAAGAAAATAGAAAAAAATCCAGACAAATTTACACTTTTCAAATTGAAGTTCTTTTAAAATTCTTTTCATTTATTTATTTATCATTCACGTGTGTGTGTGTGTGTGTGTGTGTGTGTGTGTGTGTGTGTGTGCGTGCACGTCACTCACACATACCGGGGTGTGCATGTGGAAATCAGAGGACAATCTGTAAAAGTTGGCTCTCTCCTACTACGTGGATTCCAAGGATACAATACAGGTTGTTAGGCCCAGTGGTTTTGGTTTTGGATTTTTTTTTTTTTTTTTTTTTTTTGGTTTTTTTGAGACAGGGTCTCCCAGTAGCCCCCGCTGGCCTGGAACTCACTTTGTAGACCAGGCTGGCCTCGAACTCACAGAGATCTACTTGCCTCTGCCTCCTGAGTGCTGGGATTAAAGACGTGTGTCACCATGCCTGGCTGGTTTTTGGATTTTTAAGAAAGGGTCTCACTATGCAGCTCTGCCTGGTCTGGGACGTGATAAGTAGACTAGGCTGCCTTTTTAAAGGCATGTGCCACCATGCTTGGCCTGCTGTTTTGTTTTTTTGAGAAAAGGTCTCACTAGATAGCCCAGGTTGGCCTTGAATTTACTACATAGCCAAGGCTAGCCTTGAATGGCAATCCTCCTGCCCCAGCTTCATGAGAATTGGGATTTTAGGCCCACACCTCCACACCAGCTCACAGTGGAGTTCTTCAGAGATTTCAGTCATAACAATATACTGAAAACCATCACAACCTCAATCTATAAACTATAATATATGCACCACAAAGCTTAAGCTTTGAAACTTACTTCCTATTTCTCTTTAACGTCTACATTCTATATAAATATAACTCTTACCTTTCCCTTCCTAAGAATCTATTTCATATTTCAGGTTTTTTATTTATTTAATTTTATTTATTATTATTATTAGCATGTGTGTGTATGTATGATGTGTGTGTTTAAGGGAAGACATGCATGTACCATGATGCTCACGTGGAGCTCGGAGGACAACTTTTAGAAGTTGGCTTTCTCCTTCTACTGTGGGATTTGGGTATCAAATTAGGATTCTCAGGTTAATAGGCCAAGCACCTTTACCCACGGAGCCATCTCTCACTGGCTCTCTTTTTTTTTTTTTTTTTTCTTTTTTCTTTTTTTTTTGGGGGGGTCTTTTCGAAACAGGTTCTCCCCTGTAGCCCCAGCTGGCCTGAACTCACTATGTAGACCAAACTGGACTATACAGAGATCCACCCGCCTCATCTCTCCAGCCCCTCTTTTCTAGTTTCTAAGACAATGTGATCAATAATCATATTGAGCAGCATCTCCCAATGACATTTATCTCTGAGTTTCTTGCAGATTTTCCCTTGGATTCTCAATTCCAGGCAGGTTACTGTTGTTGTTGACTGTTTAGCACAAACTTGCTTGGAAATTACTATATAGCCTAGGCTAGCACTCAAGATCCTCCTGCCTCATCTTCATGAGTACTGGGATTACAGGTGTGCACCTCAATGCCTAGTTTCTTGTTTTCTAATTATAGTCCTTGAAGTCATTACATTCTCCAAAGTGGTTTAAACCTTCTTCTGTTTTTCTTTACAGTTCCTATCCTCCTGCCTAGAGAACTCAGCTGCTGGCTCCTATACTGTGTTCAACAACAACAACAACAAAAAAAAAACCTCTTGATTTGATTAGCAAGTCCCTTAGGAACCACTCAATAGCAATTCTGTTAACCATTAAAGACAAGCATTATTTGTCATTTGCTTGAGGATTTGGTTTTGGAAATGAATAAGGTGAGTTTTCCCTCCAATTTTATAGCCAAGTCAAACATCATATCCAAAGTGTATCCTAGACCATGTCAGTGCAAGGGGGTGATAAACTATGAAGAAAGCAGGCATTTATCCTTAGTTTGACTTAATTCTGAGCAGCACAACCTCAGGCTGCAGGTTGGCTTCCTACCTTAAATTGCTTCCCGCAGGTGGAACACAGGAAGTCTTTGCGGTCCGAATGCCGGAGCATGTGCAGTCTCAGTTTGTCGGGACGACAGAAGGCCTTGTCGCACTCAGTGCACTGGTAGATCTTTTCCGAGTGGAAGCTGCGCACGTGCTTTTTCACCTGGCAGTGAAGACCAGGGGAAGCTCAGGCACTTGCCGGCCAAAGGAAAGGCCCATAGTGGCTACGACGCTAGAGGGAGCCAACGCACCACCGAGACCTGCAGGTTGGCCGGGCTATCCAATCACGAGGGATGACTGCCCTCAGTAACACATGTCCTTGTCACAAAGAAGCAAGACAGTGGCCAGAAGGCTCTACAAATCTGAACCTCCCAGGTGACTTGAAGGGTAGAAGAAAGAGGATTTACTTGATCTTTTGTACTCATTTTCTTCTGCTTTTTTTAAAACTCAAAGCGGAATTTGAGTTTAAATGAATCATGATAAAAATTAGCTATAAGACAAAAAGTCACCTGTCCTCATTTTCCCCTGCTTTCTACATATGTAGAAGCAATTTTGCGCCTTTTCCTAACTGATTCTTTCATCTCTTGCTATAAACTCAGGTCTGGGATGTAGCTCAGTGATACAGCAACTGTCCTATTGCGAAGCATGCATGAGGCTCTAGGTTCAATCTCAGCAGTGGAAGAAAAAAACAAGCCAGGTTCTGAAGAATGAAAGATATGACTCAGATGACACTGGAAACATCACTCATTTATAATTAAAACACTAATGTCCTTTCTCCTCATTTATTTATAATTAAACCACTGATGTTCTTTCTCCTCATTTGGGACCTATTCTCTTACTTTGGATCATTTGAATAAAAGAATACAGCTTCACCCTGGATTCAATTTCAGTATAGGGGGAGAAGGAGCTAAAGAATGTTAAGTTCTGAACTCTCTTAGCCATGAAAAAGAGCTTTGTGGGGTGCCACAGCTTGGTGATATAATATGTGCCTAATGTGTGTGAGGCTTCAGATTCCATAGCCAGCACCAAAGTGGGAAAAAAAAAAAAAAAAAAAAAAAAAAAAAAACAGCAGCTCTGGGTGGAAGCTACGAGGAAAGTCTATCAAGCTACGCCTTTATAAAGCACTTTTCTTCAATAATTTTGGAGTTCCTTTTGCCATTATATTGTACCTTAGCAAACTTTCTTGCTGTGTGAAGAAATTTTCTAAGACTCTCAACATTAGCAAAACTATGATTAAATCCTAATCTCCTTTTGCTTTGGTAATTTTTAAAGAAAGTTAATGAGATACTGTGATTTAATTATTTACTGACTAGAATATAAAATATTATCACTGAAGTTCAAATAAAACCATGGACACTCTGGAACTTCTTCTCCCAATTTTGCCCACACAGAGAACACACTACCAAAGAGACAGATGGTGCTTGACACAACAGTATATTATATACCAACTCTCGTTTCCTTCCCAAATGTAGAACCAAAGCAAAGCTAGATAGGAAACCAGAATGGTAGAGAGATGTCTCTAGTCCAAGAACTTGAAGTATATGTTCTATAGACTTTAAATTATTTTAAAAGTAATAGATATTTGACAAAGATTAAGAAAGACTTTTTTAAAAATAATAACCAGATCAAGTATTTAAAGATAACATCACCTTTATATTTAGTGTGTGTGTGTGTGTGTATGTGTGTATATGTGTGTGTATGTGTGTGTGTGTGTGTGTGTATATATGTGTGTGTCCCTGTCCACCCATGCTTGAGTGCTATGGTATACATGTGGAATCAGAGGACAACTTTCAGGAATCAGTTCTCTCCTTCCACAGTGTGAGTCCTGGGGCTTGAACTCAGATCATCAAGTTTGGCATCAAACACTTTTACCATTGAGTTATCTTGCCAGCCCAAATCTGGTGTTTATTATTTGAAATAGAACTTAAACCTTTAATTGACACTGATCTGGACAACTAAGGATGATAAAGCTCTATTTATGAAAAGCAGTTGGATTGAAAACTATTTCAGAGTTGTTTCAAAAAAGAGATGAAAATACAGGTGCTAGGTGATCTGAATTTTCCAAAAATTGAGATTTTTTTTTTTTTAATCAAAAGAAGAAAGCAGACAGGAATCTCAGTTGCAGACACTCACCTGGATGAAATCTGGGAACCGTTTCTTACAAGTTGGACAGGTGAAGTAGCCATCACTGATATGAATGGCCACATGATCTTTCAACAAATCAAGGCGGTCAAAGGATTCTGGGCAAAAAATGCAAGAGTAAGTCTTCTGATCCGAATGGAGCTTCATGTGGCTCTCCAAGGAGGTGCTGCTGATGAAGCCCTTGTTACAGAGATCACAGGTCAACGGGCAGTTCCCCTCCCGCCCATGGAAGCGCAAGTGTTGGTCCAGTTTGTCCTTTTCCCGGAAGGCCTTCCCACACTGCAAACACTTAAAAGGCCGGAAGGACTTTCGAATAAACAGATGCTGAAGAGCTGCATTCTGAAAGACACACACAAACAGGATCATGTGGTGAGGAAACAGAGTATGAGTGGACCACATGTCCATAGGGAGAGGGTGACTCCTGCAGTCAGACTCAGCAGGGAAGCTGAACTCTAGGACATGCAAGGGAAAGAAGACTTCAGAGACAATGCTGAGAATGAAGCCATCCCAAGAGTTCTTGAAAAGATACTTCCGTGTTTCATTTTATATATGCAGATGTATATTTTCTTTTGAAATGATTTAAGTAAATTTCAAAACAGTGTTCAACAGAAGACTTTCTTTCAAAAAAAAAAAATCCAAAGTGAAACAGTAAAAATTGGCAATTTGGAAGAAAAGACTTGGTAAGTCACATAAGCATGAATGGGGTTGGAGCATGTTAACCAAGTGTCACATCCTAAAGTCCTTGATGAAAGAATCAGAAGCTTGATTAAAACATTTCACAAAAAAAGAAAAGAAAAGAAACTGAAGGGCAATTAGACCTTGCCAGAAAGGAGGCAGAGGAAGAAATGGGTATGGAGTTTCTTGGGGGATTAAATCATACTATGTGAACGACAGATCTCAATTTAAGAAAAAGCTGAAAGGGAAAGGAGGATTTTACGTGAGTGTGTTTTTCACAGGACATGACTGATGAACACACCATAAACGGAATGTATGTATTTCAGTATTTCTACTTCAAGAATGTGGAGGACAAGTTCCCAAGGGCAGCCGGTTAGTTCTAGTTAGGACACCATGCTAACAAAGGTAAGCTTACAGCTGTGCTTCCTGTCTAGACCGGTCACTTTTGCTCTTCTTTTTCAGTTACAGGTCACCCTTCTAAAGCTGGTTAGCTGTCATGTAAATCTGTGTGATTGTTATAGGGACTCCAAGCAGAGAAGATGGATGCTCAATGAAATCTATCATGACTGCTGCACAAACAAGTCAAGTTCCACTGAGAGCAGATCCCCACAGTTTCCACAGAGAACACAGAAGCAATAGTCAGCTGTGCAGGACAGAACACTCACTCCTAAGTTC